TAATAAAATATTTGCTAAGTTGTGGTACCACTACACAAATAGGAGCTCTCCATAGAGAAGTATGGTTGGTCCTCCTAGCCATGCAGTCAGTTAAAAAATTGTAGAAATCAGAGAGAGCCCTGGTGTCCTGATTGTTGGTCTTGTGCTCTTCTCAAGACACCATAGTGCAAATGTGCTTATAAGTTTTGGAAAATAAGTATCCTTGGCACATGTTTGTTGTTAGAGTGGGATAAGGAGGCTGGAGTAATAGTAATAAGGGCTGAGAATCTCATTACCCAGGAGATGGGCGTAATAACTAATAGCTTTATGATAGTAAAAAGTCTGGACATTACAGCAATTTCCATTTAAAGAGTTATTAAATACTCTGAAATAACACATTAGTAATAAGTGTGAAAGTCTTTACAAGAAGCCCTTCCTGAGTGCCCTACATACTGACTTTATGGCATATTTTAGTAAAATAACATACCAGTGTTGACACATTTGAAAAAATAACCACAGAATTGCTAATATAGACAGCTCTGTTGTTGCTCACCCAGAGTCCCCCAAACTAAAAGAGGCATATAACATGTGGCCAAGACCACCTTATTCCTGCTTTCTCTTGCAAAACATCCAAATGCAAATAAAGAAGTAGGGGAGGAGACCACCACAAAGCTTTGAGCAGCAGCCACCAGAGGCTGCTGGCCACTCAAGTGTTCAAATAGCGGGGCCAGAGAACTTCCATGCATAGATCCAGTACTATTATACCTTTCCTTAGGTGTTCATTTTTTAAATGAAACAGTACACTTTAATAACTTTGAGTATTAGTGTAATGCAGCCTACATTATGAAACAATTTTTTCTTAAAACATTTTCTAGATGTTATCTTCTAATAAAGGAGCTGGAAAATGAGCCACACATCCAATTACAAGTGGTATAATTTACTCATGTATAAAGCTTAGTAGAAGTTAAAAACTATCAAAAGTGGACGGAATCTTATCACACTATCTCAAATGGTTCCAGTATTTCTAATTTCCAAACTGCTTAAATATTCTACCCACCCCTACTATGTTTTGCTCCCAAGATTCACTACATTCATTGTTTTAAAAAGTAGCTCATGGTTTGTGAAATTTATAATACAGTAAGATCAAAATTCAAATGGTATATTCTAAGAAGAATCACAAAGAAATTTTGTAGTTAATAAGTTTATTGGTGGTAGTAATCTGGGTGTACTAATTCTGAAGTAATTTTACATGTCTTATAGAATCAAGCAAGTGAATAAATATTAACGTTGTTTGGAACCAAAGTTCTCACCAAGGGAGAAAGAAGATACAAACATGGAACAGGGAAGGGTGGGGAAGATCAGTGTTAGATTTGAAATGAAAATATCAGGGGGCCAGCCTGTGGCTCACTCGGGAGAGTGCAGTGCTGATAACACCAAGGCCACGGGTTTGGATCCCATATAGGGATGGCCGGTTAGCTCACTGGGGGAGCATGATGCCAACAACACCAAGTCAAGGGTTAAGATCCCCTTACCGGTCATCTTTTGAAAAAAAAAAAAAA